GAAAGATACACACATAGGCTTGGGCACAAGCATGCATTCATGCCTCGGCTGTAAGCCTTTCATTATGCTTGGTGTGATATCATTGTTGTGGCCTAATTAAATACACATACTGTCCAAGTGTACTTTGTTGCTGTGTTTTAATCAGAGGTAGAATGTTAAGTACAGTTACTGGAATACAGTCATGAGACACTTGAACTTTACATGAGTACTTCCATTTTCTTCTGATTCCTACTGATTTCCTCCACAGCTAAAGAACATATTTTACTTCACTTCATTTATTTGGTAGCTTTACTGTATTTTATAAACTGTGATGTCCTGTTTAGTTAACCTACCTAGAAGTATAAATATTTTTATATTAGTTACTTCCTAACCAGTCCTTTTGGCTCCATATACAGTATTTTTACATGTTAGGTAAATGTAGCTGCTAATACTTGGAGTATTTTTACAGTAAGATATGCTATCTGGGAATTTCTGAATATTTCTTTTACCACAGATTTTTGCCGTTCTCTTCTTTTTCCTCTTTTTCTCTATCAGACTTTGTCTTTCTTTCTTTCTCCATCTCTCTGCACTCTGATTTGTCCAAATTCCTCTGACTCTTATAAAATGTCATAAAACAAAATTATAAATACCTTTACAATGAAGAAATGAATAAAGTGTCTGCATGTACGTGGCTGTATATGCTCCTGAAAATGAGTTGTGTGGGAGAAAAGATGAGACCTTTTCAGTCTGATTAAGTTGTTTATTCATTATATAAGCCCGCAACATTTATGGTACATTTGAATTTGCTGTCAGCACACATAAAAAATCTCACATAAAAAACAGAGAGAGAAGCCCTTTACAATTAACAGTAAAACTGAGTATGTGCAAAATCATTATTGCATTATTTCTAGTTAATCCTTTTGTTATTCCTTCCCTCTGGTCAGTTCATGTCTCCTCTGTCCTTCCTCAGTGTCCCCACCTGCTTTATCACTTTGCTCAGCTGCAGATGAGCCTTCTCAAGGTCTGTTGCTATAGCAACCAGGGTTGTTTTCATTGTGGCCATGTCCATCGGTGAAGTTACTTTCTGCTCGTTCAAGCCAGATGGGACCGGCTTCATCCCCAAGCTGAATGCTACCCCTAAGCCACCAAGCATTTGTGTTGGATGGTGTCTCATCCTCATATCTGCTGTTCCCAAAGGCAGTGTTCTACCTTCCTCCTGCTGCTTTAGCCAGGAATTCCCCAGGTGGGTATCGCGCAGCAGCATCTGCAAAGTAGCATTTAACCTTGTCTCCCTCTCTGCTTCCTCCTCCCTGAGCTCCACTAAGACCTTTTGCAGCCTGAGACTCTCTTGCTGTGCTTCTGCCCTGCATGCTGACTCCATGCTGGAGGCACACTGCTGACATGTCCCCCTGGCCAGCTTGTCCAGCTGGGTCTCAAGATGAGCCGTTCTTCCACAGCACTGTTCCACAGACTCCAACAGCATGTTCTGCATCATGTGGGAGTTCTCCAGAGCAATGAAAAGCTTTTCCCAGCGAGAGAGATCTGCAGTTGGACCTGGTGTGACTGGGGACTTCCCTGTGGACACCAACCAGAGTGGAGCATCAATTAAAGATTCCCATGGGCAACTGACAAACATTCACACAAACCAGCCTTAATGAAATCATCACAATTTATTTGAATTGGTGGCAGTGTAGCTTCACTGTATAAATTAGGTGCCAATAAATACACTTACTGGTTCTTAGTGGGGACAGTTTTTTCCTGTTTATATAGGCAGAAAACAAATAACCAGAAACCAAAAAAAAAGACAAATAAAGAAAACTCACCATTGTGCAGATCCAGAAAGATGGCGTTGTCATAGCTCCATTCATACTCAATCTCATTCACACACAGGGATGTAACCATGAAGCCAAACACACACAGCATACGCCAGATCCTAAACACATGCATGATGAACCTCTGAAGAATTTAATGAGAGAATCTGGGGTGATCAAATGTGTTTGTCACCCAGTTTTCCAGCCTCTTCACTATATGTAGTGCTTTTTAAAGTCAGCCAACTGCAGTGGGTGCTGATTTATAAAGTCAACAAGACAAGGGAGGGTGGGACAGGGGTGGAGTGCTGTGGAGAGCAAAAAAATGATGCATATATGCACATACTGTATGTTTCAGTAAAAAGGGGAACTTTGTCTATGATTTGTTTTTTTAAAGATGACACTTCTTTTTCTTTTCCAACACCACATTCACTCTCTGTAAGAGATTAAAAAAAAGACAAAACAACAACAACAACAAAAAAATCGCACAGAAATGAATTCTGCTGGAGATTTTTCTTCTTCTTGTAAGGTAACCAAGCTGTCATCACACTAAATAAGCACAAGTCCAACTTTTAAAAACATTTTTTTGTCAATGTATCTAAAAATACTTTAAAATGATTTGAGCTTTTTTTCTTTTTCTTTTTACAAATCAATGACTACATCTAAAAACCTGTCCAATGAGTTTTTTGGGGGACATTTCTAGATGCAGCTTCACTCTTAAATTCCTCATCAGCCTCATCTACATCGTTCCTACAGGACATTTCATTGCAGGTCCGTCTGCCTGGTTAACCTTTTTGCTGTCTTGCTCTGTGCATCGTCATCAAATCCCTTAACCTAAAAAAAAGTTGCAACATTATAGAGTATGGATTATACTTTAGGCTTGGAATGAGTATGTTTTTACCACTTGAAATTAAATTGAGTTGCTAAGCAACACTGCAAAACTTGCTTTCTGGTTGTAACTGTATTTTATCACTTGGTGACATGGTTGATTAATCTTTTTAGGGGGGATTCAGGAGTACTGGATTCTTCTAGGGAAGCCATTTGACCTTATTCTTCTAGAAAGAACACTCTGGTCAACAGGTGTTAACACCACACCAGAGTAGGTTAAGCAGCAGAAGTAGGAAAACGTTAAGGTCACAGGAAAAGCCATGACTTTCTACTCTCTGCAGACCTCCAGACTGAGCTCCCCCTGCAGATGTAAGCATGTCTGCTAATAATTATATCTGATTTTCTCTCTCTGGCAGGCTGTAATTGTAGCAGAGGGACTTAATGAGCTGGGAGATGGCAGGTTTATCTCAGGAAAAGAGCGAACCTGCAGAGGAAGAGTTGGGGAGAGGTGGCGACAGACTGATGGCTAGTTGGTGAGGAAAGGTACAAAGGAAATTTGTAGAAAATTTCCTTTGTGCCTTTCAGCAAAAATACCTCACTTCAAGTGTAAGTGTGCATTTCCTTGCATTTCCCAGTTCCAGAAAATGCAAGTAATCCTATCAGCAAGGCAATAAATTTATCTTACAAATCATTTAAAATATGAAAGTCTTCGGCAGCATTCTCATCTTTGCCTTCTCGATGCTCATCGGAGGCATTTCAACCTCTTTTTTCACTTTAGAAATCATCATTTTATTTAGGTCAGTATGACTCCATAACAGAGGTGCAACATTTATCAGCAGCTACCAGACACTGTTTACTTCCCCCATCTGCACAGCTACAGTTTAGGTGTCGCACAAAACACTCACAGCTGCCAGAGAGGGGAAGGACTGCTGAGAGGTGAAAGGAAAATATAACAACCTGACAAAGGAGAGTGGGGAGGAAAGAAATAGAGGTGGAGATGGTGAAAGTTTGGAAAGTATTCCTCATGTATTAGCACAGATTTTACTCAGAGAGAGAGGTAGAAGAGACCAGATCCTATTGTCTGGCTTGTTCTGACAAAACCAGAGATGCAGCAATAAATGGGACAACAGCCTGTAAAATTTACACTGCAGCTAATTTAAAACAGCAGTACAACTTCACCGACGAACAAACTACATACTAACTAACTCAGCCAACACAACATTTTGGTATCATCTTGTTTACTCTAAGTATTGTTTAACTGCAACATTTTATGGCATTTTTATCATGTAAATGATGATTCTCCTTATCCTATTATCCTAAATAAAAAAATAAATAAAACAATATACCGTACCTATAACAATATTAGATACTGTATATCTGTGCCTCTCAGGTAGAGGAACATGACTGCATCAGATATAATTATAGACCATTCTGTTTTCATAACTCGTTCATCAGATATATTTTGGACGGGAGAGCACTACGCATTTTGTATTCTTCATTGATCTTACCATACTTAGAGTATGGCGTTGAAAACTGGGGAAATACATACAAAAGCTCACTTCAACCATTGTACATGAGCAATAAGAATTGTGCATAAGATGGGGTATAGGGATCACACAAATGCAGCTTTCATACAGTCTAAATTGCTAAAATTTTTGGATATAGTGGGATATAAGACTGCTGTGTTTATGTATAAAGCCAGGAACAATTTATTACCTGGTGGAATTCAAAAACTATTTAATGAAAGGGAAGGGGGATACAATTTAAGGGGTCAGTTAAATTTAAAAATTCATGCTATATGTCCAACCAAAAAAAGATTTTGTATTTCCATAAGTGGGGTAAAACTATGGAATAATTTAAGTGTGGACATAAAAAATAGTAATAGAATTGACGAGTTTAAACATAAATATAAAGGTATGTGTCAATCAAGATATATGCAAGAACAGGCTTAATGATTAATTAGATGGAACATTGTGGGTGTGGGGTATGAATGTTAACACTCTGTTATAATTCTTTAGTATATTACTTGTGTGGTGTAGAAGAGAATTATTTAAGAATGCAATTATGTAAGAATGTTAACACTCTGTTATAATTTTTTAGTATATTACTTGTGTGGTGTAGAAGAGAATTATTTATGTAGAGATACTGCTTGCAAACCAATGATGGTAAGATGATGTCATGGGGTAGGACTGGATAAGTCTGACTTCTTCCTACTCCATTCAAGCATGTACTAGGTATAAGTAAATTGATATTGGATTAGCATTTGTTGGATATGTGTGAAATTACATGTGTTACATGCTTGAATGAATAAATCAAATCAAATCAAATCAAATCTCAAGCAGACCTGCAAAACATAATTTCCCTTCCTGCCTGTACCACACAGGAGCATCCTATGAAAACCAGAGCGGCTGTTTCTGCTGACAAACAGGGGGCATAAAGGAAATGATAAAAAATAAGGCGCAAATGTAACAGGGACTTGCTGTATCAGTGTTGTGGAAAATCACTTACGAGCATCAAGGGACAGATAGAGGAGAATCTATTCTTGTTGAGCTGAGTCATAGGAAAAGTCGTGGGAATGAAAAGCGGTCTTTGACTGAACCTCCTGCGAGGCCCCAATGAAAATGTAAAGCTGATATAGTAGGAAGATAGAAGTGTTTATGGCCTTATTAAATCACAGGCATCCTGGCTATACTTATTTCAACATCTCACAATCTTAATTGATCTAATTGGTTTGTATAGCCTCTGACAGGAAAAAGGTGAAGAAGACCTCAACGTAGAAATAACTGTGTGGGTAAATCTCGGTTGAGAGGTTTGGCTGGAATGAGAAAGTATACGAGCAAAGACCAAGCAAGCAAATATCAGAAACACCACGACCAGAGAACAGAGACAGAATCCACACTTGATTTGAACTGACATCACAGTTTCACATTTATTTCCACATTTTCAATGAATCATGAAGTCAAGACTACATCCTCTCAATGACATCAGCTTGATGTACAACACATGACTGAATCATGACTCCATGCACACTTAGTTCAAAACTGGCAGCAGCTAGAATGTGAATACTGCAGAATGTCCAAGCCCACACACATCTTTATGTATTTGGACAAAAGCCCAGGGCTGACAGTTAGTGGGTGATTACATCAATGGGGCCAGTGCTACAGTAAGGTGTGTGTTTCCATCCAGGGGGGACCCACACCACAGTAATGGGTAATGGAAACTTCTGCCCATTTCACATAAGGGGGGCTTTAAGGGGGTACATAGGTAAAGTAAGTGATTTGATTATGTGTCAAGGGAAAACAACCTGAGTATGCACAGCATAACCTGAGCTACAACATAAAGGACTCACTAAACCTAGAACTTTGTCACCTCCCTGGGCTCCCCAACACACACGACATGTTTCATATAGCAAATGATCTCAGCTTGTAAAATGTCAAGTACTTATACACACACTTAGCTCTGGGTGAGCTGTAAACACAAGTGACAGACTACACGTGGGTCACTGACAGACATTCATGTACTCACACTAACAAATATAAACACATCCACTTGGCAGGAAGCTTGATTAGTTCTCTCTTTTGGCTAAAAGTTCAAATGAAGATTTACTTTCACAGATTTGCACACAGATAGAACAGTTGGGCCTCGACTTGCAGTCTGAGGACAGGAAGCATTACATCTACTGCCACAAGAGAGGAATGCTACTCGGTCAGTGTTTTCACACAACATTAATAATATATGAATATGGCTAAATCCTAAAATTATTGTGGCCGCTACATGCTGATTGCATGATGAGTCCTGGACATCATCTCCACTGAAGAAGGGTTTTGTACTAGTTGTTTCATTGGTTGTTTGATGCTGAACAGCCGTGGTACCTGTTACGGTCTTCACCGGCTACTGCATTTACCGTGCTGTTGTAATCACACTGTCTGCATCATTGGTTAATGTTGCACTAAACGTTGGTGTTGGGCTTGAAGCAGGTGCTCTGTTAGCTGTCACAGGTGTGCTAACTCTCCTGTTGAGTGCCAAGAGCTAGTCTGTTAGGCGCCTGTCTGAAGCTGACATCCAGACATGATCAAAAGCTTGACTGGAAGAAGCCTGGCTGTCAGCTGTTGAATGGAACCTGGCTGCTTGACTGGCAGTGGAGAAGGTGTTGTTGTTATTGTTATTACTGATCTGCACTGGTGGCTGTGTGGTTATAGAGGAGGCTGTAGTTGTTTCAGGTGGTGGATCTGCAGTCCATGAGTCTTGGTCAAAGTCTAAAGGCTGCTGGGCGACTATGGGAACCGAAGTGACCCGATTTAACCCGAGGGGTTCGTTGGCTACATGGTTGCTTGCCGATGGCTGATTAACTGCACTGTTAATTGCTGACTGCCAATTATTGGAGCAGAGGATGGCTGGAATGCTGCAAGGAGAATAAAAATCATAACCAAGTGGTTTATGGGGAAACAATGAATTATCAACTGTCTTGTTTTCCTTTGTGAAACCACATATCCTCGATTTCTCCCACAGATACATATTTGTGGTAAAGTTGAGCGTGGTCTTACTAACAAAAATAATTTCCAAGCTTTAAACTAGCTTCTTTTTTCCCCAAGCAAACAAAACAAACAGGCCTGAGCCTCCACAAAGTCAGTAAGCTCATTACATGAGTGCATTTCCTCACTGGTCCAGAACAGCCTTGTTTCAACTATGTATTAATTGTTTACAAAGGTTAAAAAGTACTAGATAAAACTTGTAGACAAAAGATAATAAGTTCAACATGCTAAAAAACATTGTAGCGTTTCTAAATTGCATAAAGAATCAATCACATACTTCCATTTTTAACTCCATGAAAACAAACCTTGCCAGTTGTTTCTGAAGCTCCTGTGCGTGTTGGTTGCACTGGTCAAAGTAACAGGCCTGAGCCTCCACAAAGTCAGTCAGGCTCCGCATGTGGTTGGTCTGACAAAAGACATATTGAATGACAAACCACAGAAAACGGTTTATTACATAGTATATTTTCCAAAACAGAAAATACCACATTTTGTGCGTATATTTGTATACAGCTCATTTGACAGTTGCTAAAAAGCCACAAATTTAATGAATACAGATGTAATCAAGCTTACTTTTTATCTTTCACTGTGTGTGTGTGTGTGTGTGTGTGTGTTGTTACATACGTGGGTGCTGCTGAGTCCTTCCAGAACTCGTCTTGTAATTTCTGACTGTCGATCAAACAGACTCTGACAGATCCTCAGCTCCATCTCTGCCTACACCCCACCCCCGCCCCCACAAGGATTATGGTCTTTCCAATGAATGTCATCGATGTACCAGCTCTGTTCCTGAAAATTTCTCATTAGCCCCCAAGTCCCTTAAGTCTAATAAACTAAACAATACAAAGACAAATATTGCATATAACAGGACCATACTCAATTCTATACAACTTTATAACTATTGGCAGTATCAGAATAGTCTCCCTCTAATACAGCATGAGGAATTTTTATAACAGCTCCTATGTGCACACAGTGATAAACATGAGCTCACCTGAGAGATTTCCTGAGCCCACATCTGTTTGGAGGAAAGAGACAGAGATGGACAAATAAATTAGTCACCAAACAACAAGTTCAGCCATGATGTTGATCTCCCTTTAGCATCACTGACCTTTAGCCATTTTACTCGCAACAAGCTGAACATGTAGGAGACATGAGACAAGTAGTCATCTGCCAGTGGGTTTGCATTCAGGTTCTGACAAAAGGACAGCAAAGAGCAGGGAGGCAGTTTAATAAGATGATGATGTACTGTATGATTTAAAAAAGGAGACAGAAAAAAAATGGATATATATATTTAAAGGGACTCTAAAAAAAAAAAGTGAAATACATCACCGGAACTCACTCTGGCCTCTCTGTCGGCTTCGTGGGCTTTCCTCAGTCTGGTTTTAGCAATGTCCAAGTCCAAACGCTTGTTCAGCAGTGTCCTGCGCTCATCCTATGAACAACCAGATGCTTGTTAGGACACAAACCATTTATAAACAGACTGACCATAAGTGACAGAGATCTAAGATCTGAAAATGTGAGATCCTTCAGTCGCCATCAGTGTCATGATACAGTATACTGTACACGATGGTATGTGTTTTTGTTTTTTTTTACCTGTATGACCCTGTAGCCTTCCCCCTCAGTGAAACCCCTCAGAGGGGTGAGAAAGTGGATTTTACTGCTTTGGATAAACTTTCTTTCTGCATTTCCAAGCTGCTTCTGAACCTCTCCACACCTTAACAATGCATTTCCTAAACACAGAATACACCCCTTTTTTTTATTAAAGCAGGCATAATTTTTACCTAGCATATAAAAGTATTCATGGGTGTGTGTCTAAATGATACTATTCAGACAAAGATTCTTTGAAAGAATATTTATACTCACCATAGGGTGTGTTGGACCCAATCTCCAGCCCAGCCTGGGTCATTTGATCTCCTAGTATGTCATGGGCATGAAGCCGAGGCAGGACACTCCAGTCCAGATGGTCATACAACCGATCCTCTAACCGTGCTCCTGTTGGTCAGGGGTCAGTTCAGATTCAAGCAGCTATGTTTTCTAAAAATCCACTGACAATTTATTAGAATTGTTCAGGAGATGCCATTGGTCTAATACAAATAAGTTATTTTAGGACTAATATAGGCACACAAACAAAAACCTCTCGAAACACAGTTTAACTTTAAGCACATGCATACAAAAAAATGGTACCACTTTCTAGTAAGATAGCATTACTAAAGGCCTTACAAGCTGTGATTAATGGCTTTATTAATGGTTAAATTGTTTTCTAATACATTTTAGTTTATTAAAGCCATTAATATCAACTACTGTCAGGTTGTGGAAAATCCGCCTCCAGCCTGACTTTACCAACAATACAATCAATTATCTACTAATTAAATAGTTATAGATTTTTGTAAGTCATTAAGATTCTTTTCAGGTCTGGGAATAAATAAACAAACAAGCTCACTCACTGGGACTTGGCTGCAGTAAAACCTCAGTCTGGGAGATTATCTGGTCTGTCATTGTCTTGGTGGCGTCTGCCCGGGCCAGAAGCTCTTCCAGACCGGGGTCCAACTCGGTCTTTTCCGCCTGGCCAAGACTCTCCCCCGTGTACTAGAGCGAAATTACAGAACATTTAAGATATAACCAGTTTGAGAAATAAATCTGTTGCACTATGCACTTCTTATTGGATGATTTCATGAACACACTGTAACCTACTAACGTTATGACAGTGACTCGATATATATCATTAAAATGGGGCGCCAAATGTAAAAATAACACTTACACTAGTTTTCTCACATTTAGCTAAATGTGAGAAAACTAGTGTGTTATTTTACATTCGGCGCCCCATACATTAAGGGTGATATTGAAGTGTTTAAAACAAAAAGCCACCAGTAGTTTATATCGACTACTTAAATAACAGGTTATTCGCCTCTCGACCGAAAGCATTCGCCCTACTTTCGGTCTTTTCTTTTACCTGAACAGCCCGGTTGATGAACTGACCAGCATCCAGGACCAACCGCGACACATCCATGACAACGTCAAGGTCGCGCCCTGTCGCCGGTGGCCCACAACGTTAACGGCCCAGCCGGACGGCGCTCTCCATGGTCTCAAGTGCTAACAGCTACCGGGTGTTAGCCGTCGGTATCGGCCATCAGAACAAGTAAATACGATCCAAGTTGTTGACGGTTTATCCTCCAGCCATGCTGAGCACTTCCGCTTTCGCGTTGACTTTATTTACTACTGTACGCAACCACTTCCGGTTACCTACAATGCAATACGAACGGGCGTGCGTGTGTGCGTGTGTGTATCTCAAATACTGATATATCTGACAGCCAGTTAGCTATCAAATAATTTAATAGCAAAATATGGACTTAAGCTGTCTATAAAAGATACACATTCGACTGAAGACATATTTTAATACTTAGAACCCAACACTTCCGGCTGTAACTTTTCACAATAAAAGAACTGGCTCTAGAGGTAATTCGACTAAACCAAATGAAAACATTCAGTAGTTTTCCGTGATCATAATTCTAATATAATTTGACCGCAGCTCCTCTGTCAGCCATTAAAATAAATAGTTTTACAGTAAAGAGCGCGTTAGAGGTACACTAGATATATTCCTTAGAGAAGCTCCAGTAGCTACACTAGAGCAAAAATAATCTTGCTATTCTACACCATACAAACAAGGGCACATGAGAATCCAGTGTTGTTTGTAAGATCTTCGGGATTTGAGAAAAATATTAAAGGCTTCTAATCAAAAGCAAATGGTAACAGCAACCAAGCACTGAAACTAAAGTAAAAACATAATGATGGAAAATAGACCGACACTCTTCCAAACTCATGACTAAACAAGGAAAATATTGCTCACTTGTAGAAATTTCAATTCCCTTATTTCATACCAATATACTCACAAAGCTGCCTTCAGCCTGGTAAGGCTTTCATAAGCAAACACTTAATAAGCTTTAATTGGTGCTGGGGCGAAAAAAGTAAGCTGATTGGACCACTGTGTGCAAGATGGAAAACAGAGAAAGCCAGGGAATTAAAACAATCAGCTGACAGTCTTAGTGCTACAGAAAAAAAACATCATTTATTGCAAGAGAATGTACAGCAATGTAACAAATAGCTTGTTTACAGGAAATAGGAAACAGCAGAACAAATATAGCATTATAAAAGAGCTTTTACTTAATATTAAGGAATGATCTTGCATTTTATTCAAAACTATTGATGCTTTTAAGTGTAATTACTCACTAAAGTGTATATGCTGGCACTGAGTGAGTGTTGTTTTTTTATTGTATTTGTATTGGTATCCTGAAGTGCATCTAAATTTCATTGTATATTTTTTGTACAATGAAAATAAAGCATTTATCTGTGTGTGCAGATATCTCTTTGCACTTTTTAATTGCACTCTAAGGTTGGCACTTAAGGTCGTCTTGTGCAGTCATTTTAATCACAGGTAAGCATCTTTAACCCTCCTGAACTGCTTTCCTCTCATTTTATAAATGTAGGCAAGCATTTTAGAGGTAGGGCCCCCAGCCCAGATACATTAGACAGAGCAGTTTGTCATCAGTGGCCTCCTGTATGAGGTAGTGTACATGTCCCTCTATAGACAGAGGCAGACCCAGAACTTTATTCCTGCTCTTTATCACTCCTTGCAGACGCTGCTCGATGTCACACACATGTGTTTTAGCCTGGCAGAGAAGGAGGGGGACAATGCAGTGAAATTACTTTAAAAAAATCTGACATTTTGAGGTTATATTAGACCTAAACGCTCCTCTAAATGCATTTAAACATACTGTACATCCAGAGGGAAATCCTAAATAAATAAATCAAACACACCTTTTCATTAACTATCTCTCCAGTCTCATTGGCTTGAGTTTTGGAATGTCCTTTGGCTTGTTTGCTCCACTCCACCAGTGGGTCATGAAGGAAGGTCTTAAGCACACTTAGAAGGAAAACAAAAAAGGAAGTTTTACTTTACAGAATTTGTCAGTCAGTCATCCCATAAGAAGTGTCTTATATGTTTCTTGCATAATAAACTTACTCTGCTTACAGTGTTTTTCAAGCATCGTTTCATATACTCAGATTATGAAACAAGGTTTACAGGATTTCTGATAGTCATATAATATATATAATTCAATTCACTTTGTATAGTAAGGTCTAGACCTTACAGTATTCTAGAGAAAAACCCAAACCCCCTTTGAGCAAGGACTTGGTGGGAGGCTGTCTGCCTCAACTGGCTGGGGTGAGTGGATAGAGGAGAGAGAAAAGAAAAGCATCAAGACACAACAAACAAAACAACAAAGTAGTCGTATGTGTGTGTGTTTGTGTGTGTACCTCATGAGTGGCTCTCTCTGGTCTCTCATTAGTCTCAGGGTGACCTCACAGGCCTGTCTGAAGAGGCCTTCGGTGCCCATGGGTCCCATAGCATGGACCATGTTTTGGGTCAGACGGAAGGGCACAACCTCAGGCACATCAAATGTCTCCCCCTAGTGCAGAAGGAGAGAAGGAACATGAGAAAAATGAAGACAGCAAATAGTCATACACAAAAGTATTGCATAAATTATTTCCCTCCTATTTCATTTCTATTGAAACATGTATATATAAATATGTTAAACCTTGTTAAAGAGGCAGTTGAAGTCAACATGAACACATTCCCCAGTGAAAGAGTCAAAGAGGATGTTTTCTCCATGACGATCTCCCAAACCCAGGACATAACCCACCATGGACATCACAGCAGTGGAGCGGCAGTACGCAGAGCGACTGCTGTACCTGTCAACACACACAGTCTCAGCCCTGATTTTAACCCCATCCTACATGTATATTTAACCCCCAATTGGATCTTTTCACATTCATAACCATCCAAAAAAACTCTTGAATTTTTTAACCCAGAACTGAAACTGCTCCTCTCAAATGTGGCACCATAACCATACACACAACGAAATTTAATTACTGGCACTGATCATGAAACAGAGGCTCTTACAAATATAAATGCTGGAGAGGTGTGGGGCGGGTCATACCATGATGTAGGGTCAGGGAAGGTCCGGAGGAACCACTCGTGGAAGATAGGTTGGTGTCGAGCACACAGCACCTCCTTGTGAATTCGTAGCTTCTCCTCAAACGGAGCTGTCTTTGGTAGCATAAGCTTCCTCAGCTCTTTACCTGATAAGTAGATACCTAAAACACACACAGAAATATGACCAAATAAGCGGACAATTTGTTTACTTCTACATCTATATATAAGCTTTACATGTGAAGATACCTCTCTCCTTATACAGCTTGGTGAGAATGTGTCGAAGTCCAGCAGTGTTGTTGACCCATTCGATGATACCACACTCCTCATTGAGGGGGATCACAGCATAGGTTCGGATGTGTAGCTCCCTCCGCCTTGACTCAGCATCTTTGCGTAGGCACTACACAAACACACAATGCCAACATGTGCACATATTACATATACTACTTCCTCTATGCCTTTTTTTAGAGGGGAGCTTTACATTTTAGACAGATGCTGTAGACTTACAGTATTAGGGACATCTGTACAATGTAATGGGATCCACACAACACCAATGTAATAAATCTATTTACTGTCATTTTTATGTTGTGCAGTTTCTGTTCATACTGTGTAAAATAACCATTGAATCAACTCTACAAAGCAAAGCAAAAATGAAGATCACACCTTAATCGTAATTAGCTGAAAATCTATAACAAAGGAAGTGCAATACACAGGGAATTTAAAGCTACAATATGTATCTTAAGGTAGCACCAGCATGAAATTCCAAATCATTCCACTCTGCTCCGCCCAGCGCTCCCTCTCCCTGCTCCACTAGGCTCTACTATGAGCTGCTATGCTCCACCATGCTCTGCCCAGCTCTTCAAAGATTTGTTGCCATGAAATTACAATAAATGAGAATGCAACAAAACCTACTGATCAAGCAGAAATACAGTGGTGTGAAAAAGTGTTTGCCCCCTTACTGATTTCTTATCTTTTTGCATGTTTGTCACACTGTAATGTTTCAGATCATCAAACAAATTTATATATTAGTCAAAGATAACACAAGTAAACACATCATGCAGTTTTTAAATGAAGGTTTTTATTATTAAGGGAAAACAAAATCCAAAACTATAGATCCCTGTGTGAACAAGTGTTTGCCCCCTAAACCTAATAACTGGTTGGGCCACCCTTAGCAGCAACAACTGCAATCAAGCGTTTTCGATAACTTGCCATGAGTCTTCCACAGCGCTGTGGAGGAATTTTGGCCCACTCATCTTGGCAGAATGGTTGTAAGTCAGCCACATTGGAGGGTTTTCGGGCATGAACCGCCTTTTTAAGGTCATGCCACAGCATCTCAATTGGATTCAGGTCAGGACTTTGACTAGGCCACTCCAAAGTCTTCATTTTGTTTTTCTTCAGCCATTCAGAAGTGGACTTGCTGGTGTGCTTTGGATCATTGGCCTGCTGCAGAACCCAAGTTCGCTTCAGCTTGAGATCACAAACGGATGGCCGGACATTCTCCTTCAGGATATTTTCGTACACAGCAGAATTCATGGTTCCACTTATCACAGCAAGTCTTCCAGGGCCTGAAGCAGCAAAACAGCCCCAGACCATCACACTACCACCACCATATTTTACTGTTGGTATGATGTTCTTTTTCTGAAATGCGGTGTTACTTTTACGCCACACATAATGGGACACACACCTTCCAAAAAGTTCAACTTTTGTCTCGTCTGTCCACAGAGTATTATCCCAAAAGTCTTGGGGATCATCAAGATGTTTTCTGGCAAAACTGAGACGAGCCTTTATGTTCTTTTTGCTCAGCAGTGGTTTTCGTCTTGGAACTCTGCCATGCAAACCATTTTTGCCCAGTCTCTTTCTTATGGTGGAGTCATGAACACTCACCTTAACTGAGGCAAGTGAGGCCTGCAGTTCTTTGGATGTTGTTGTGGGGTCTTTTGTGACCTCTTGGATGAGTTGTCGCTGCGCTCTTGGGGTAATTTTGGTCGGCCGGCCACTCCTGGGAAGGTTCTCCACTGTTCCATGTTTTCGGCTGACTTACAACCATTCTGCCAAGATGAGTGGGCCAAAATTCCTCCACAGCGCTGTGGAAGACTCATGGCAAGTTATCGAAAACGCTTGATTGCAGTTGTTGCTGCTAAGGGTGGCCCAACCAGTTATTAGGTTTAGGGGGCAAACACTTGTTCACACAGGGCTCTATAGTTTTGGATTTTGTTTTCCCTTAATAATAAAAACCTTCATTTAAAACCTGCATGATGTGTTTACTTGTGTTATCTTTGACTAATATATAAATTTGTTTGACGATCTGAAACATTACAGTGTGACAAACATGCAAAAAGATAAGAAATCAGTAAGGGGGCAAACACTTTTTCACACCACTGTAACTGAAAGTCTCTGATTGGTTAAAGAAGTCAGTCCTGCTCAAAACCTTTTAGGAACTAATATCTCTGCACTGCTGCCAGTGCTGTTCAACGACTTTGGGTCACAGGAGGCTTGGACAGTACCACTCCACAAGTTTTAGAGCAAAATTCTACAACAAGAATATTGTTGCATACTAAAGCTTTAACTCATAAAATATCAAACACTTGATATGAACAATTTGACTGGTGCTTTGATACGACTTACGCCAGTAACAACATTTTAATTTGAATCAAATGACACACACACACCTTGTTGATGAGGCAGTTGAATTCCATCAGTCTGCAGTCCTTCCTCATGTCATCTTTGGGTTTACACATCATGGTGTAGCTCCGCCCATCTGAACCCTTCAGGCTTATCTTTTTAGGCTTCTGTAGGGAAGCCAAGATCTCCACCTACACACACGTAAAGTAACCTTGAATTGATTTTTGTGATCATAAAATCAGACTTGTTCCCTGCTAAATGGGCTTGTAACCGTGTGTGGGTGTGACGAGACTCGTGATGTCATCAGGCAAATTCCTACAAAATACTTCTAACAATCAACTCCCTCATAACATCTCTTACAGTGTCTTCAAAGCCATCCAGGTATGCCCATTGTCCAGGGAAGGGGTCGTGCTGCGTGTTCGCTCCACCTGTCGAGGGCAGTGTAGGGATGAGCACCAACTGTAATGGGATCAGGATCTGGCTGAAGGTCGGCTCCTCCACCAAACGTTTCAGCTGCTTGAAGTGAACGTTCATATTAAGGGTGCTACAGCTCCCGTCCACCTGGAGGACACATTCAGAAACATTAATCTGGTGCTAACGTTATTACTGTCCCTGTTGTACTGTAATGTGAAATTACATTTAAAATATGTTATATAAGTTTGTGTACCGGCTTGTTGCAGAGCTCTAGCAGCTTGTCAGTCAGCCTTGTGGCATCTCCAATGAATTTCTCCAGAGACTGTTTAAGACTAATGGCCTTTTTAAGGATCTGATTACAGCGGTTCATACGCATGGAGTAGGAAGACTAGAAAAAAAGAAGAGGCATTCAGACAAACAGGTTTTAAGAGTTTCTGAGCCTGCTTTCAAATACAGAACACCAAAGACAAAGACAAACACACTCACAAACCTACCTTGGAGACAGCAGTCATTAGCCACATAGCCTGCTGGGGGTACGCCAGGAAAACTTTGGCCACAATGTTCATGAGAACAGTAAAGACCTCATCGCTAGAGTGACACACCCTGGAGATGAGCTGGGAGAAGGCGGTCAGAAACTGGTACGGCGCCAGGTTCGCACAGTGCTCACTCATAGCCGAGTTGATTTTTCCCAGCTCCTGTCGCATCTGTCTGTCTGCTCGCCCAGCTGCGATGGAGAGATACGGTGTAGAATAGTTTCACTGTTAAAAGTCAAAAGCTAAGAGTAAACAGGCATAAACTAAACGGGGCTGTTAGTGAGCTAGCCAAACACTGGAAGTATCTCAATGTGTGAATTTTTATTTTACACTTACACAGAAAAGACTGGTCACCCACCTTTCTCACATTCACACACCTTGGCTCCAAAATCAAGCCAGAGAGACAGCATCCGAGGCATGGCCTGGTAGATGTACTGGTTCCCAAACTGCAAGGCTCTGGGAGGGAAACAACCCAAATCAAAGGGTTGATGAAGAAACTAATGAGCCTTTGGTGACGTAAAGTCAGCCATCAGATGCTTTGGTATCATCTGTAAACAATAACTCGGTTCTTACTTTCCAAAGTATGTAACAATGTATCGGATGAGGTTCCCCTGTTTCTCCAGCTTGTTATCAGTCACCATTGGCATCACTTTGTCATAGTACTTAGCCAGGTAGAAGTTTCCATCCTCCCACTCAGGCAGAAGGTTGGTCACATCCTAAAAAAACACCACACACAGCATTAGTGTTTTGTTAGACCAATACATTTGTTCCTAAATAAAAATCTCTTTAAAAAATGCCACAAAATTGTAAAAGCTGAATAGGACATTTTTGGCATTTTACCTTGAAAAAGTACTTTAGCTACAAGTTGATAAACAAAATAGACAATAAACAATAAACAATATTTACTGATCGACTAATCTCTCCACATCTACTGTGAAGGCACTGAGAAATAGGCATTTGTAACCTCGCTGGTCGTCTTTAATCTGAGACTTAAATTTACTGTGCAGTAGTTCATTCGATTTACAAATACGCCTGTTACCCTGTATGCCTTCATGATGGCATTGGACTCAAAGTTGGCCGTCTCCTCCATGAAGCGGCCCACCAGCAGCATGGCCTTGCCTTTAGTCTGCAGGCTGCGAGGGTCATTCAGTGGCTGATCATCAGGAAAACACTGGGCCACGCCCTTCTGCAGGACGATCAGTGCCTGATGTACATCGCCCTGATGAGCAACGTAAAAGGTTCTATTAGTGTTGCTGTAAATGTGTATGTGCTTTCTGTAAAAGTGTAATTTCGCTAAGAGTACAACTAAATTGATTATACCAATATGCCTTGTGCTACAAATCTGCTTCTTATGTTATATGGGTTGAATTTACAGGTTGATTATACCTTGGACCAAAGCCACTTGGCTTTCTCTGTCACCAGCTCAGCCAGGTGCATGTTCTCTGCATTCAGAAGAGCATTAAAAGCAGTCTGGTGGTGCCCTGCCTTCCTGGCCACCCGGGCGCTCTGCAGCCAGCACTCCCCGACCAGCTCCTTACACACAGACCTGCAAACCAAACATGAGATCATACGAGGGACACGACTTGGGGAAGTACACATGACTTAAGGTGAATAACAACACTTTAATACAACTAAGAGAAGTGATAATGTGTGTCTGTGTGCCTGCAGATGTGCCCCGATCCTTACTGTGATCCCAGGCTGAGCAGGGCCCGACGCAGTGCCAGGATTGGCTCCTTGGCCCTAAAGGAATTCTGGGTCATCTCTAGTCGATCTGACCAATGAGGAGGCACGTGGCTGAGACTGAGGGTGGAGATTTCCTGCTGTTTCTGCAGCTCAGTAAAAGTGTGCTCCAGCTCACTGAGCATGTGAAGCCTAAACAGAGAAGTCAGTTTTAGGGGGCCAAGTACAAAATGACAAACAAAACACAAAATGTTACAGATTCTAAAAAAACCCACACCGACCTGACAATGTACTCGTATCCCCGCTGGTAGGTTCCACACTCGTAACTCGCCGCAGACAGAGGAACGACCTGTTCCTTTCTCACAACCTTCAGCTTCTCATAGAAAGTGTCAGCATCCTGCTTCTTAGCTGACAGCAGCAACTGGCCAAGCCGCACACTCCAGGTACTGGACTGATGGTCTGGAGACACAAGGGTAGTGCAATTAAAAGTTCTGAGCTGCATTGACATTTTCAACAACAATGAAAGCCCCCATCATAAGTGACCAGAACTCAAAGTGTTGTTTTACCTGAACCCAAGTAATCTTCCAGCAGGTCCCATTTCCCAAGCTTCCAGGCTGCCTCTACTCTGTAAGTGTTAAGGTCCGACTTCCACTGGGGCCTAAATGTGCACATGGAGTTAGTTATATGTATCACACTTACTGGAAATGTGTTTTACACATTCACGTATTACAACGTGTAAGATAAAATAACGACAACAATTCATTTGTTTGTCCAACTACAGTTAAAGCAGGGTTAACATTCCTTAAACCAGAATTTATATATGTGTGTCTCACTTGTTAGCCAGTACTCCATTGACCTGGGTGATAACTGTGGACAGCTGTCCCAGGCCCAGCATAGAGGTCATCACCCCATGATAATGGCCAATCTATGCACA